TAGAGGAGAAAATGGAGGCAAAGATTGAAAATTGCCTTATAGGAGTCGCATCACGCGAACACCAATGCAAAAATCTAATGGCTGCGTATGATGCTATAAATAAAAATATTCTCCTTCTTTTCATAAAATAGCTTTATAATTCCTTTCTATTTTAAAGTATTCGTACTATAAGTCTTAAGTTGGTGACGTCAAAGAGAATTATTTGAATATAAGTAGCTGGATAGATTTGCCTATATTAGAACTTGATTTCCTTTTACTAATTTATTTCCTTTTATAGAAGTTTGTTTATGTCAAATTATTTGTCAAGCATTTCTTTGTAAGCATAAAAGAACAAAAAAAATATAGTACTAATTGTTTATATTAGTAAAAGAACAAAAAAAATATAGTAGTAATTGTATATTTACATCGTATCTTTTACAAGTCAATTCTACCTGCAGCTGATGGCAAAGTACAAGAAAAAAAAGGTGTATTTTAGGTCATTTACTTAGCTTTGAATAGGGAAATTGGACGATGTTCTCTATCTTCCATTGGAAACATTAGGGATCTATCACTCCAGTTCATACATTTATGTGTAATTTTTTTGTCATATTTTTCAGTTTGACTATTCAAATGTCAAATCCTATTTTAGTCAAGAAGATACGTGGTGTATATTAGTAGTAAATAGTAGTAATAATTATATGAGTATTCCCTCCTATCCATTTTATATGATACACTTTGACGGGATATGAAGTTTAAGGAATAAAAGAAAGAATGTAAAACTGTTAGTAAATAGTATTTGTAAAATAATTCTGGAGAAATAAAATAACATAAACAGAAACATAAACGAAATAAAAGTTAATTCGAGCTCACTAAATTCACAGTGTTTCCTTAAGGAATTTAATCCCCTCCTAGTACCCAAAGTTATGGATTATTTCCACCCAGGATAGAACGAATTACACACTGGTGTAGTGGTACTTCAAACCCGAGTGTTTCAGCGAACAAAAAGTTCGGTAGCAAATTACACTTACTGTTGTTTTCCTTGAAGTTAAAACAATGCAGAAGAAGGAGGAGAAACTCAGAAAATCGTATGGAAATTCTGAGGGAATGGACTTGTATTTATAGTCAATGTTAGGGTGAAATCTGAAGAGGTGCAACTCTTCAGAATTACTGTTTATGCAAAACGGTCATAGCATAAATGCCATAACATAAATGACTATTTACTCAATAACAAACCGGGATAATTGAAGAGGGTGGTTAATTTTCTGTTACAAAAACAGAAAACGAAAAAATGGAAAACGGTTGGATTAATTATTAATATTATTGAATTTAATATTAATATTCTGTTATTAAAACGAATATTTAATAACATTTGTGTTAATATTTATTATTAACAAATAAATTTGGTCCAAAAAATTAATCAATTAATCATTTGACCGAAGCCAAAGCCGAGCGACGACGACAGCGCGAGGCTTGCCTTCTTCTCAACTCTTTAAGAGCTAGAAGAAGAACAATTGCTTATATACCCATAAAAAATTTCTTCCTCTTCCAATATGGGACAATGTCCCTTCATCAAGGAGTGAATCTCAAATGAAACTCAAATATTTCATTTTCCCTCCATTTCCCATTCACCCTCTTTTAAGCATTAATATACTTAAAAAACCCAACAAAAACTTATTGTCTAAAAAAAAGACGTAGATATTTGCATGGATATAAATCATCTCAATAAATATAAAATTAAGAAGTTTTAAGTTAAATTATTTCTTAATATAGAACAATATCATTCTTTCTAGGACATACTAAAAAGAAAAATGTATTACATAAATTAGAACAGAGGGAGTAGGGGTAAGGTCTGCGTACACACTATCCTCCCTAGCCCCTACTAATGGGATTTTACTGGATCGTTGTTGTTGCTGTTGTTGTTGTTACTTTTGTCTTTTTCTCGTGCTACATGTAAGATGCAATTGTAAACATTGAACTGTTTGAACATCTTATTTAAAAATTTAAGTTACTAGAGAAACACATTTTTATTTATTTAACTATTTTTTCAATACATCGATCATTGAGGGTGTTATTCCTTTTTATAGGTCAATCCAAGTATGTGAAAATTCTTTTCTATAATGGATAATTGTGAAACTTGAACTTATCAGTTTACTTTAATACCAAGTTAAATTGTATGATTATTTCATCCAAAAAAATTATGTTAACCGAAAAGCACACTTTTATTTACTTAAGCATATGTCTAACAATACTTCCTCCGTTTCATATTAAATGGGGTACTTTCCTTTTTAGTCTGTTCCAAAACAAATGACACATTTCTAAATTTGGAAATAATTCAACTTTAAACTCTTCATTTTACCCTTTTTGCCCTTAATGAGAAGCTTTTATAGCCACACAAATGGCATGGCCCCACGAACCTTTTACCCCTTAAGCTTTAAAGACCACAAGTTTCAAAAGTCTTCTTCTTTTTTCTTAAACTCCGTGCCGAGTCAAACTACCTCAAATAATATGAAACGGAGGGAGTATATAACTTTCACCTGAATTGACTTTTGAATGTTAAATTTGAGCAAAAATATGGGACAGAGTCGAAGAGTACTAATAATCACTTTATAATTTCCTATATATAGCTTCATTATCCCATGCTCAAACACTCATTAAAAAACATACTTTATACAATGCAAAAAAACCAAAAAAACAAAACTTTGTAATCTTCTTTGTTTTCCCTTATTTTCTTTATTTATGTTTCCTTTTTCCCTTTTTCTAACTATAATTAACATGATGTTTTTGTTGGTTAGGTTTTTGAAAAGGAGAAAACCCTAGCTCACCCTATCAAAGGAAACTAGGGCTTCTTATCTTAGATACGGATCTTTACTGATCATTCAAAAGATTTTTCTTTAGCCCTTTTTAGCCAACGTGCTCTACTAGTAATTCTAAAATAGAATAAGAAAATGGAAATAAATTACCAAAGTTGTTTCTTGACAGAAATCATTGATCATCTTAGAAAGAACAGGTACAGGCAAAACAAGTAGTAGGAAATTTTCTCTATTCAATGGGAACAATGATAAGTGCCTGATTGCATTGAGTGATTCTCAAAGAAGATGACCCCATTGTTGGATCCAAGTGGAATACTAGCTAGCTAAATGTTTATAATTGACCTACTGTATTAAAAAAAAAAAAAAAAAAAAAATAGCTCGGTGCACAAAGCATTTCGTATTCACGCAGGGTTATGAGAAGGGCCGCACCCTTAGAGCTATGATGTAGGCAGTCTACCCTAATACATACATTTATGGTTGTTTCCATGGCTCGAACCCGTGACCTATACGCCACACGAAAATAATTTTACGGTCATTCTAAGACTCCTTTCCTACTTTGGTGTACGGTATTATGATGATGATTTTACAGACTGGATTTCAGAAGAGTGCAATTTGGAGAATATATTAATCTCTCATATATGATCCTATTATCAATCAAGTCTCTCTTTTGTGTTCCTCATAAACTTCCCACATTATAGCGCATTACCTATTGTTAGTAGCAGGGTCATACTTCATATCATAGATTTTTTTTTTTTGTTTCATTCGCTTTTTCCTTAGGCTCTTTTTGGTTTAAATTTAATTACACACAGTAAAATCATTTCCAGAGTAAAGAGTAGATATATCATATATAGATATAGGTAACATGTAATGGTATTGAGACGTGGAAGGTAATGAGACACTTATGAATGTGAGAGAGAATTATTTAATGTATTTGGTGTAAATTAATGCTTTATATATTTGGTGCAAAAAAGCTTCTGCATTCAATTAGTCATCGAAGCCTACATTACTTATTGAATTGCTATTGCAATTTTATTGAAATCTAGGACTAGTTATTGACTGACAAAAAGCTAAGCTCTTGCCCTTTCCACCTGAGTTTACCCTACCCTAAGATGAGATGGTTCCCATCCTTAAGCCAGGCAATAGATCTAACAACAATTCTAGTTGGAATCCTTGACATTCCCTCACGCTTGAAAACATTAATTCCTCTTTCACTTTCATATGTTAGATTGTGTATATAAGAAAGAATTGGTCCTTCAAAGAGATAAAGTCTTCCAAAAAAATTGTCAAATTACATAAGAAAAGGAGAGTTATTTCAAAGCAACTCAGGTAACTTGACTGAATTAAAAATCTTTGTGTGGTTCGAATCCACATTACCTTACAGCAGATAAAGAATGTGGGATAGAGGAATTGATCTTCAAATCATGACGGAGGTTTGAAACTTTGAATAATTATTAATGTCTTTGCCTATTTGCTGGTACTGAGTGGCTGGTCCCAACCTTGTGCGTGCGCCTATGTATAGTGAGAGAGAGCATACTAATAAGAAATATGATTCCACATTGGTGACAATCAAATAATATCTCAATGCTCTACACCTGCCGAAGCAGCATTGATTAGCTCTCTATTGCTTCAATCATTTCTGCGATATTTATGTTGCATGCCACACGAGCTAGCTTGCCAGTAGATAATGATTTATAGTTTCTACCTAAAGCTGCCTATACCATCATTATCTAGGCATTTTCTTTAGCTTTTTTTTTATGTGTGGGGACTAAAGAAACATTGTTCGATGGAGTTCCTCGAAGTAACTTTATCGAATTCTAATAAAATCAAGCAATGGAGCCACGAAATCCCAAATTCATTGGAGGAACTGTTTCATTTTGCCTGCATGAAAGCGACAAATATTATTCTCCAACAGGTAAAACATTCATGTCTTTGGTTGGCCTTATTTGTTTTCCTGAAAATTAACTAACTCAAATGGGGAAACAATTTTTGGAAAAGATTTTAGTCAAACTCGTTACCTAAGCTGAGGGTCTTCCGGAAATAACTTTTGCACAAGGTAGGACAAGGTCTGCGTACACATTACCTTCCCAGAGCCCACTTATGAAAATACCACAATATACTGAGTATGTTTCTGTTGTTGTTGATGTAGTAGTATTTTAGTCAAACTCATATATATGCCCTTTTCTCACTTAATTATACTATATATAGTTTGTTAAAACACATTCTCACATCATCATTATCAGTTAACTATAGTTTGTTAATACATATTCTCACATCAATTCACAAAATCTCATGTCATATAAAGCCGTCTATCCCTCAATAAAAGTAATATAACATGGCAGAGATTGATTGTGATTAACCATATGGCATGACAAAGTAGTAACTAATAATTGGATATGTAACAATGCTTCTAGCTTTCTATAGATCCAAAGAGTTGTAAGCTTCTTCATCTTCTTGATATTCCTCGTCCATCAAATCCTCTTTCTGGAAATAATCATCTTCAAAGAGGAAACTTGGGGCATCTTTATGCTTCTGGGGGTTACGATCATTTAATCCGATGACTGAAACTATCTTATCCCTGATGCAATTTCCAACATTATCCATGTTAACCTCTTGAGACTGCACTCCGAGAAGAGAACAGCATTCTTCTTGGAAGTTCAAGTCATTCGAGGATAAGATCAGGCGAGCAAGAGTTTTTGCAAGGTCAGGTGCATAATCACAAATCTGTGATGAAAAACAAATTAGAACCTAAGCTGTATACGCAGATGCAAACTGGAATTGATTTTAACCGTTTCAACTTTAAAGGGGATCATATTCAGCTAGAATGTGCATGATAATTAAAATTAATGCATGCAAAAGACTACTGCACCTACTACTATGTTGTAGCAGTGGACTAATATATAGATATATACATGGCCTATTTTTTAAAAATCTGTTCAACTATATTAGCTAAAGTCTAGGATAGAGGGTGTGAACGCATCAGCCGCTGGCATACTACATATGCCTCTGACCATTGATATAGGTATTGAATAAGTGTGTTGTTTAAAAAGTGTAAAACGTGAAAGCACATGCCCTTCCAGCTAACGAAAAAGCTATATCTGACAAAAACAGGACAGCAGTGCTAAATAGATAATGCTTCAAAAGCAACTCCCAGTTAAAAGGAGAATTCTTTCTAGGAAGCTTTCATTCCCAGTGAGAATATACTCCTTGCCCACCCGCTGCTCTCATTAACTGTTTGAATAACTGTCATCCCTCGTTCAAATTCAATCACCCTACTCGTAAAAACATCAGATGGTTTATGAAGAATGTAAAGGACTAAACCATGACTAGTTCCTTTAATATGTGAACTACCTAGTCAGATGAAATTACTGAATACTATCTGGTTAGCAACCAATCCTTAACAATCCACATCAAAAGAAAATCATACAAACTACTTTTTCTGCTTCATGTTTGTTGACATATAAAAATGCAGAATAGATCATAAAATTGGGGATTAATTTGTTCATAGCTCAGCCAATACCAAGAGCCAGAAAATCCAATGACCAGATTGAATGCGGAGAAGAGCGAGAAAAATTTACCTTAAGTGCACGTGTACTTAGGAGAACCCCTTGATTATTTTCCTTTAAGTCATCCAAAGCACACTTGACAGCTTTTCTAGCAAGATTTCGATCAGCTATACTGTTTTGTGCAACCAACTGTTTCACCTTGAAAGCAAGTTAAGCAAAACACAGATGCAAGAAATTTCTCATTGTTCAAAGGTAATGCTAAGATTGTATGACCATGTTAATTATCATGGATATGTATAATTTATGGATATTGTCTATGGTAACAATGGATGGCAATATGAACGTGAAAATATTGTGGCAGGTTCTCCCATTCCAGCATTACACAACCATCATGATCTGCAATGCTTCGTAGAGCCAACCCATAATTTTTCCAGTTGATGCTTGTCAATGCATCAACGGACGACTGAGTATTAGAACAAGGTACAAAGTCCTTGAAATATAAGACCTGGAATCAGGCATAAAGATACAAATCAAAGAAACAGAAACAAACTACTATTATTCAGAAAAGAAATCGTGAAGGAGGGCGAGATACTGGCTCAACTAAAAGAAGGCGAGCAAGTAATGCTCAGAGATGAATTAAATAACTTCAACAGCATCTCATCAATCAGGTAGAAAGAACTAAATTTTTTAAAAAATTGCTTAAAATATTTTGTAGTCGCAAACAATGTTAGAAGACTAAGTTTCAACCAATCATCTTCCTGACCCATACGATAACTAAGGATTGATGCTAAGGCACACACGGTGTCTTTTAACATGTCTTTGTTATGTTGAACTTCCAACATACCTCCAGAATATGTTGAAACTACTGTAAGGACTAGAAATCCTTGGACTTAACCAACCTGTAACTTCTATGATTCACTTAGCAAAAACTTCTGATATCCTCTTAAGTGTAATAAGCAATACTTAATTAAAGCTAATACCAGAGGCCACATATGTTTACACTAGGTAAGATCGGACAGTTAATGTATCCTGTTTGGTGCACAATGGGATACTCTAGATTTTAGAAAATACTTGTCCCTTTGGAGACATCTATAAAATTGGAAAGATACATAATAGATCAGATTTTAGACAATACTTTATTTTTTGTTACAACATTACAATGGATAATCGCACTTTTCAACAACTTCTATGCCTCAGTCCCGAACTAGTTAGGGTCAACTATATGAATCCTCACTTCTTCATTAAAGCTCAACGCATATCTAATCATATGCATGAGCTTAAAAGGAGCTACAAGGTCAGGGAATAGCCAACCAAACTTGCTCGGAATTGAGGCATAGTTGTTGTTGCTGTATATGTAATCCTATCGAATCAAATGTTATCAGGATGGCCACAAAGAAATAGATCCACTTACTGGCCCTAAAACAATCGAAATATCTTTCAGTTATTACTCACATAAATAGCTCTCTACTCTATGATGTAGGGAAAGATGCATAAATATCAGCTTCCACACACCATACAGGCACGGGGTTCTTCACCTTGTGTTCCATGCTTCATATAAAAACAAGAGATTCATTATAGTGATATAAAACCCTGAAAATTTGAAACTCCAGAGACATTAATAATGCAGATCTGAGATATTTCACGATCCACTCGTTCTAAGACAACAAATGAACTCAACTACAAGTTAATAGAAGTTCATAAAGAATATGCAACTTGACATGTATACGGTGAAAACTGTTATCTAACATTCGGTGACAACATGGTTAATAATAAGCACATATTAGAATGTGAACATTTTTTATGGTTTTAAGAGTTTTCTTCAATTAATAATCCAAAAGCAAACCTCCGTTTTCATGTCTTGTTCCCTGATGCAGGAAGAAGGGAATTGTTCTGACATCTCACTGATAATTACCACAGCTTCCACCACCTGGCTATTGCCCTGAGAACTTCCAGAAGAGTTAGCAACCCCAGTTCCAACCTTCAGATTTTCCCTGAAATATGAAACTACAGCTTTAAGTATAATAAGATTGTTTTAATGCACTTTTTTTTTTTGCTCTGGACGACAGTTGCATCTCCAAAGGGGAATATCCATATATGAGTTATCGCAATTTCTAGTTTAGCATCACCAATAGATCTTAACTAAACAATGCAAGGAAACTTAAATCATCCTACATCAAATTATAGAAGGAGTGAATTGAATTCTCGACCAGATTATAAAAAGCTTGAATTTGAGTTGCTACTTCCTGCATGCTACATGTGATCAGTCTTATTGCCTCTACTCCTTCCTTCTGCTTATCTGGCTTGAGTTCTAGCATTCCCTTTTATATTTGACCCTGATTTTTTCTCACCTGCTCCACTCCATCCCAAGCTTCTTTTTTCCCCATCTTCACTCAAGCTAAACTATTTGACTAGACCAGTCTTTTAAGAAGCTAAAATCTTCAAATTATGCATTTTAGAAAAATAATTAACTACTTTACATCACACTAAAGTACCTTAATGAACAGTCAGACATACAGACAAAACTACACAAGAAAGAGCGAAGAACTGTAAATGTTACACTTTTTAATGGGAAATTGCAGTACAAAAGGCCTAACTTAAAGATAGTAGATGCAATACTCCATGTAAAGCAAAGAATGACAAAGGTCAGGGAACTACGTCAGATTGGACAACGAAGAAACAAGAAATAGCATTGCTAAGTACTGCCTTTTTATTTTTTGAGTTTAGCACCTAGAATTATGAATTCAATATGTGAAAGTAAGACCTATTAACACATTATCTCCACCCTTCAACAAAAAGTAGATGAAGGAATGCATCATTCATCAGACAAAACCTAGCACCCCTCTAGTACTCACCCAATTGAGAAGGCAGTGTAGCGCTTACGAACATAATCCTTGAATCCTACTTCCAAGCATTTAATGCTTTCAACAGGAGAATATGCAGAACTTCCCTCAATTGCCAGAATACGACTTCCAATCTGTGATCCCAAAGGATCATTGCCACCAGCTAAGAGTTCCATTACAACTTTCTGGAAGAAGAAACAAACTATCAGCCAAGAGAGGTAGGTGTCCTAGCTATTTCCTAAATTAGAAGTCCAAAGAACTTGGTTAAAAAGACATATACTTAAAATTTTCAAATCTCAATGCGAATTTGATAATGACAGATATTTTTTTGACATGGTGAACCCCTCCAAAAAATAACAGTTGCATTTAGAATTATGAAAGGGGTCTATAGAGGAGATAGTTGCATTTGATTCGAAATATAAAGCATATCAAGGACAGAAATGAACTTGCCGGAATCTTCACAAGGATCATCTGCGTAAAAAGCCATGAAAAACTGGAGTTAATAGAGATTTACTTTGAATTTGAGAAATCATATCTAGAATGAGCTGATAAACATGAAAACTGAACCTTCTGAAGAAAGCAGGTAACCTCTGCCAATAAGTCATCAAGGCTCTTGGATATTGATACTGATACTTCAGTCCCGCTGCAAGGTATAACTAATTAACCACATGAGAAAGACAGTAACATAGGAAGAGGGGAAAGACTAGATGGGTACAGTCAAGAGAAAACTAGTTTAAGAGTAGGATCACAAGGATGGAGCCCCTGCAAATGGCATACCTGAATTTGGCACCATTCTTTGCAGTTGAGGGTAGCTTTGTCAGTCTCCCAGCAGAATTAGATTCTTTCAAATTTAAGTTTAAGTTGTGTATCTCACTATCATATATGCCTGCAATTTTCATCCCTCAATTTAAACTACCAATGCCCAATCCTATGAGATTATAGTAGTAGTTCCAACTTATGTACTTGTAAAACATAAGATTGTTAAAGTAAGAAATATGCTATATATGTGAATCATAAATACTATCCAGAAACCATTCTTCCAAAGCAATATCAACAGTTTATTGCTAGTGGATAATGAGCACCCTAAGCTAAAAGAGAAGCTGTGTGAGCTTGACTAGAATTGCTTAAGTTGGAGAAGAACATAAAGTTCAATCTACTGTGAAACTGCGTCAATGCCACTTTTTAGCTAATATTTAGAAGGTGTTACGGATGAGCATGTATTCTTTGATTAAAAGTAAATAGTTAAGGAGCTGTATCATTCAAGACATGAATAGGCAGGATTCAGTGCAGAGTTAGCATTGAGACATTTTTAGTAAAAAGCTGATCCCAATTTATCCGTAGAAAAATGTGGACTTGCTTTTGTGGTAATGCCTCTTTTCCAAGTTAAAGATTTCAAGATTTTGAGACTGTTTGAATAGAAAGAATGATAATATTGTGGCATTAATTTGACCTATAAATATCTCAAGTTTTAGAAAGCTGCCTAACCTTCCTCCTCTTTGTGAAGTTCATTGAGTATCACATCCCTCAAAGGACAAAGGAAATAATAGGACTTGCTAGAGGCATTTGTGCAGACTATATCATGAATAAACTCCCAAAAATACTACATACTCCCTCCGTTCCAAAATGTTTCGCTTCACGAGAGTCACACTATGTGAATTTTGACCAACATTTTAAAGAGAATAATTGCAACTTGTAGTACTTTTCGTATGGTTTTTGAATATCTATGTTTTAATTGTAAAATATTGAGTTGATGTAATTCAATTTAGCTTCGAAGATTAGTCAAATTGACTCTCGAGAAGCGAAACATGATGACTAATTCGGGACGGAGGGAGTACAAAATATCCCAATTTGTCCTAACAATAAAATTTGACTAAGCAAAAGAATTATTCACCAAGAAGGTTGGACTTACTTGTAGTTGCAAGAGAAATCATCCCATCTACAATGTAAAAGATACTATATCATCAGCAACTCACATGTGGCAGAAAAGAAGTTATGAAAGGCTTTCAATTGTATCTTCCAGGCAGGAGAACACAAAAAGCAGAGACGCATGATTTTAGTTGCAATACCTGTGAACCTCCAGAAACTGAATAATTAAAAATTGAACTTTTATATTAGTTAGTACTTTTTTTCCTTCTCTTTATGTTCTTTTCCATTTTTCTTGTCTGGCAGCCATGGGAGTAAAACAAAGGCATTTATGCGACCTGATCATTTGCTAAAATGCTTTGTTGCTTTGCCACTAGAATCCTCATATTTCTCTCTCTCTTTCATCTCACCCCACCATATGCTCCTCTTTTTAGCTCCCTAATCTGTTGGCTCAAAACTGAAGAATAATGCTCCTAGTAGCTTCAAGTTGCATGAAGTTATGCTTCATATTCCAAGAAATGGAATACAAAGGCGACTTTTTCTTGTGCTTTAATCAACATTTTAGTCGGTCAGAATAAAGTCCAGAGTTATGGCTTATTTCACATGTACCATTTAAGAACCACAGGAACTACTGTCTACGCAATGATGAATAAAAGTATGAGGTCTTTTTTCTTTCATATATACGATACACAGATATGTTTTAGACGAGAGGTATCTACTGAAACTTAAACCAAAGCTACATGCATATCAGGTATAACTATAGCTTAGAAAAATAGAGTAAAAAAATAACAAGCATGTAATTGCCAATTGCTTACCCCATTGATTAGTCAGAACAGCATTGTTTCTGTATTTCAAATATTGGTATTCCTCCAATTTGCTTCCAACACCAGTATCAGAAACTGTTCGTAAGAAATTTTAGTGATTCAGCCTCATAGATTCTGCTAACTATATTAACAAAACACTCAATCAACAGTTTAAAATGAATATGCAGTTTATTTTCCGAAATGTAATCTCATTTCCTTATTCTAACCAATAGGATCATTGAAAATGTGAATTAGACAGATTAGCATGGACAAATCAGTCGTCAAGTTAATACACTGACCAATTTATACTTATTTGAGCACTAAACCAAAAGATATAACTAGGTTTGTGTTGTTAATTAGCTCCTCCATGCGAGCTACACAAACTAAAACCAGTCTCAAGCCCGGAGAAAGGAGTAGCATCACTGTAGGTTGAAGGTCATCGTAAAATAGCTCAAACCAGTTCAATACCGAAGAGGAGAATGGATTCAGGATCTGTCTAGCTACCTCGTCTAGCTTCGGATTGAAATTTGGAATTGAGAAAATAAAATTTGAATGCAAATGTAAATTCCGTATCCAGAGAAATTAGCCAATGCGTATTCAAAGTGAATCACTTCCAGATGACACATCTTCTGTATCATAGACATGCATATACGGAATTACGGCATACATACGCAGTCGCAGATACGAATTTCTGAACGAAGGACCAGAACACACACGCACGCACACAGACGGCGTTGCAGCTTAACAAACAATACATGTTTCTGCTCGCATTTTCACACACACACACACATCAACAAAATCGAGAGAGAGAGAGAGAGAGAGAGAGAGAGAAATCGCCTGAAATTCGAACGATCGGGCATCCAAATCGAGAAAAGGAAGTCAATTTAATGGATAATCTGCAGAGATCATCGGCTAAGCGGCATCGTTGAACAGCGCAGAAAATGAGCTGCACAAGTAGAAGAAGAGTGAAACTGAAGTTCAATTAATAAATTGTAAGAAATGGCAAAAGCCGCAATTGGAGCAGCAATGCAGACGCTACAGTTTGGAGGTAGAGGAAATCACATGTGTATAGAGCATTTGTACGGAAGAGACTTCCATTTCTGCTGTACAACTTTTGCAGTAATGCAGAGCGAGAGAGAGAAAGCGCGCGATGTCAATTAAGAACTGCGTGTGATTATCAAAATGCGGTTTATTATTAGCATTATATATTTCGATTAAGTGCGTTTTATAATTTAGATGACCGCTTTATAACATTGAGACGCGACTTATAAGTTGCACTATCCGATTTATTCAATTTAACTCACACTTCAGAAATGCAATTTAACCTAATGTCATTATCTGTTTCAGTTAACTTATTTCACATGCATTTCGTATATTTTTTTAAATTCCAACAAAAAGTACATACCAATGAAATTTTTCAGCCAAAAAATTTACATTTTGGGAAAAGAAACTCGACTACGAGCTATCGTCCCGGTTTTTGAAAGTCAGGGATTATGATACATTTGGCCATTTATTTTATAACGAGCTTCCACTAAAAACAGCTAAAAGTCTAGAAAAGAAAACAACAAACAACAATTTCATTTATTACAAGTTTGAAGTGTACCATATAAATCCTCAATATCATAATATTTTGTTTAGATCCATAATATTTTAATATACTTAGAAATTAGTTAACATTATTTCCTAATATCTAACACAAAAGAAAAAGAAAGGAGAAAACTAAAAAAATCTAAACGAAGTCCAATATCTCAATGTATAATTAGTAAAACGGCTTTAGAATTTTAAATTAGTGAATATGAATAAAGATATGCCCATTGTTCCTCTGTGATAATGGGTCAAACTTAACATAATTATATATCTAAATGATGGAGATATGTAATTTGCTGAAAATTAAAAGTACCATGAAACGATTCACATAATTAAACAGTGTTTAACGTGATGATCTATTGACTTCAAACATGAATATTAGCAATATATTTTAGGATGAATATTCCACTTGTACATCTCAGTGATATGGTACACACGCGTGCCCGAATACTAATTATAAAAATAAAATAAAAAAGATGGAGACTTGTATTTACTTACTTTATGTCAAAAGAGATCTTCAGTTTACGTATACGAAAGTACAATGAATTCAAAGTTATCGAAGCTAAACGGGAGAACAACAACAACAACAACCCAGCAAAATCTCACTAGTGGGGTCTGGGGAGGGTAATATATACGCAGACCTTACTCCTACCCAGAAGGAGTAGAGAGGCTATTTCCGAAAGAACCTCGGCTCAAGAAAACAAAAAGACAAAAGGAGACTATCAGTATCACCCCAGAAATCATAGGAAAAATAGGAACAACATGAAATGCAGAAGAAAAATGCAAAGCAAAAGCGATAACTAGTAAATAGGTCTGGCATTGAAAAGCGAAATAGTAAGACACAACATTGCCACTAGCTATCTTAGACATAAACCCCAACAGACTAGTCTCACATGGTACGAAGTAAGGCAAGACACAACTACCTCCTAACTTACAACCCTAATACGCGACCTCCACATCTTCCTATCAAGTGTCATGTCCTCAGAAATCTGAAGTCTCGTCATGTCCTGCCTGATCACTTCTCCCCAATACTTCTTAGCACCCTCTACCTCTTCTCGTGCCTTCCACAATCAGACGCTCACACCTCCTTACCGGGGCATCTTGGCTTCTCCTCTATACATGCCCCAACCATCCGAGCCTCTCTTCCCACATCTTGTCATCAATGGGAGCCACGTGCACCTTTTCCCGAATATCATTATTCCTAATCTTATCCATCCTAGTGTGCCCGCACATCCACCTCAACATCCTCATTTCTGCTACTTTCATCTTCTGAATATGTGAGTTCTTAACAGGCCAGCACTCAGCCTCATACATCATGGCCCAAACCACTGCTTTATAGAACTATCAATGGCACTCTCTTGTAACACAGGACTCCAGCTGCTAACCTCCACTTCATCCATCCTACCCCAATACGGTGTATGATATCCTCGTCGATATCTCCTCCCCCTGGATAACGACCCAAGGTACTTGAAGCTGCCTCTACTTTGGATGACCTGGGATTCAAGCCTCACATCCACGCCCACTTCCCTCGGCTCAGCGCTGAACTTATACTCCAGGTATTCCTTCTTCGTCCTGCTCAGCTCGAAGCTAAACGGGAGAAATGGATGAAAAAATTATAAGTCACAAATGAATCTTAGAAGCTAACCAGGGAAATATTTTCAAACCACAGCTGAATTTAAGTTAACGCTTTGATGTAAACGTTAGACATCCAAAATCCATAGTAACCAGCTGAATGCAACCCCGCATCTAAATTGGATAATACTGCTAACAAGACTTCAATGAGAAACTTAATGGAAATATTATCATAAATCAAGATTACCAAGAAGGTTCAGAACCACCTAAAACACGTAAATGTTGGTAATCAGAGAACAGAGCCGCATATGTTACAGTTGGTTTGTTATTCTCTCCCATCATCTAACCATTTCAGCATAAACTACAAGAATGAGAAACAACAAAGGGAGGAAAAAGAACAGGGAAAAGAAGGGAGGAGGGATCTTTAACACCTAAGAAAAGAAATCCTACTGACAACCGAAAAACTAAAAGAAAATAAAACAAAAAGACCATGATTTATCGTCTTAATCTTTCAAGGTATCCAAGAAGCTCTGCAACTCCTTCAAACCTTCTGCAGAAATGCTCCTATGCACCCTTCCGCGTGGCGCAACCAAGTTAGGAGGTGGCTGCTTCTTAAAACACACCACAACCACTGATAGATTGTCCCCGCTCTTTCTTTTCAAAGCCTCGTCAACGAGATCTTTGCTGCACATCACTGGATCATTGTGTTCTTGGAGCCTTCGACGAGCGAAATCCACAGCATTTTGGCTCATGAAGACATCCCATATACCATCACAGCCTATTATGAGAAACTCGTCCTCTTCTGTAAGTCTGGTGCTCATAAGTTCGGGTTCTCCACTAAGGGGACCACCATCAACTGACTTTAGTCCTTCCAGGTGCCAATCTCCTAAAGCACGAGCCACATTGAGTTGTCCATTCAGGTAACCGTCATCCACATATCCTCCGGAAGCTTCAATGCGTTCTTTTTCCCTCAAACAAACTGGTTTGTGATCCCTCGACATCTCAATAGCTTTACCACGGCGACAGAGTACAGCTCTGCAGTCTCCAGCATTTGCCACAACCAGAGAACTGCTTTCCATGCAAAATATCAAAGCAAAAGAGATGCTTAGGGATCAGCAATCAAAGCAAAAGAAAGATAAGATAAAAGTAAATCCTCTTCACTCTAGGCTGTGAAAGCAAGTGGGGAGGGGGAGAAAGTGCAGTAGATCCAAGAATTTACTGACAATGATGCCAGCAAATGAACAAGAAGTCATGGATTTCATAGTGATAGATACATCTTTTAGATAAAATTAGATTACATTTTCCTCGGAGAAATCTAATATTGAATGTAAATGGTACAATAAACTCATCTGGCGAGATATATTACTAAAAGGTAGCTTAGTGGCACTATTTTCAGCTCATGTCATCATATTCATCTCTACCAGGTTAGAAGGAACACGTAGTGTATCAAAACCATAAAATACAAGTCCCAATTTAAAGAACTTTTAGTAATGTTCAGTCAAAGTTCCAATGCCACAAATATTAGTATGAGTTTTAGCCAACTCGCAAGAGGTCGGTGGACGAACAATAAGGAAGTGAGCGAGGTTTCCACATCTATAGAGAACCTCCTCATGCAAATAATTCAGATTGGAAGGTCTTACATATTGTATATGTTGAACATAGCTGCAAATTACCTCAGAACATGAGTTATAAAAAGGCAAGTATCCACCGATCAAAAACAGAAAAAATATGAGAATGGTGCAAATGTTCTAGTTGAAAAAACACAGGATCCCCCCCTGCAAATTATTATCGAATTGCTTCCAAATCAAACCTACCCTGAACCTGACTTAATCCATTTTGCCTGACCCCAGCCAAAAATAATGAAAAATAACAAATACTAAACAGTGCCGCAAACAATTTTAATGCAACAAAAGATGATTAAATGTTCTCTTCAACAGAAAGCAAGTGAACCTTCCAATAACAAGGGCTGCCAAAGCAGTGGTACCAGAAGCAAGATCAGCATCCAAGATGCAGGCTTCTGCGAAGGCAGTATCAGTTTGCAAGAATGCAGAAGAAATTGCCCTATCAATCTGCCTTGGGAAGTCTTCATCCTCCGCAATAAACCTTGGTAAGTGGTAGCACGCAAAGTCAGCTGCATGCTTTCCTCCATGTCCATCGAAAACCTTGCATTAATAGAAACAAAAAGTAGAGTTTTATACATCAAACGTATTTTTCCCCTATATCCACCATGAATCTGTGCACATGCAAAATGTCTTAAATGCTTCATCCATGCACAAACTACCCAAAAACAAGAAGACTTCAATATGTAAGCAAGCTTGATCTTGGAACCTAGTATTCTTCAGTTTCATTTAGAAAATGCAACATAAAAGAGGTCTGCACTTTTTTGAGTCTGGTAACAAATAAAAAATGTCTGCACTCGAAATTAATTTGAGATATCTAACACAGACCGCAAATTTGAAACGTCACTTCCCCTCAGCCTTGCATAAGTACTCCCAATTCTTGGTATCACTTCCAGCGCCAAAGAAATACTAGTTCAAAGGTATATCCCAATCAATCGTTGGAAACATAATGAAATGAAACAAACAGAGAGGGTAAGTAAACAACTCTGTAAACACAGTAATCAACTTGATACTACTTTTCACCACTCAGCTCCAGTATTGCCTCAGTAGTGGCAGCGTAGTGACTAAAAAGGCTATTCAGCTTTCAAACACTAAACAGGAAATGCTTGAATGATTTTAGTGATATCCTTAGTTTTGAGCATGAGAAGAAACTTCTAACTCCTCCTTTTACATGGAAAAAAAGAAAAGAAAAAAGAAGTGATCTTGTAATTGAAACTCAAGCAAAGAAAACCTCATAACTTTCCTTTACTTCACATCCCTCAGTTTTGGGTTGGGAGAGATAAACTTTATGAAAAGACCCACCTCACCACGAGATGAAAATAACATCAAAACCTTAAAATGTAGGGCCTGCCCTTCTAACTGTTTATTTCATCAACACACTTCTTCTGAGACACATCAGTTTCCAACATTTCCAATGCATGTAGAGTGAGAAGAGCTCTCTGTCATCTCACAATTCTCACCAAGTACCAAGAAATTACAAGCATTCCAACCAATCTATTATTAAAAAAGGAATTTGTACAAAATAATCTAGCATTTGGTCCTGAAACTTCAAAGCAGCCCATTTCTCGTGCTGCTCATTCGTATGAGCCTCAGTTATTGAGAGTTTGACCCTATCCTTGTTAGTTCGGCTACTGGAATTGAAGAGAGTGGATCTAGAGCTACTTATATACCACTAAAATTAATTTATTCGGTAATGCTAATGCATACACAGCTAATTTTAAGTCATAATGAGTTACACTTTCTTATGAATTTCTTTGTTACCAATTCAAGATTCCTCGGTTCGGGCCGGAGAAGCAACGTCATTCGATCATTATCAAACTAACTGCAATCTTTTTCTGTCCGTGAAGATCCCACCAGAGCGCCTTCTACTTCTAATAGGCCATGAACGTGTAACAGTAAAACTTTAAAGTCAAAGGCGAATGCAGCTTTTTGTGTTTTACTACCTAAATAGTGCCAGGAATTAAGTAAACATTAACAAACATCAAGTTTCTATGTACTTTCTCGGTGGCAAATAAGTTTGTGCTACTCCCACACCCTGGCTTTGGACTTGTGATTAATAATTTAGCAACCTAGGTTTATTCATCTGCAACTGATGGTGCATTATTAAGTTCATTTAAACCTGAAACCACAACAAGATTTTGTTTTTTGTTCTTATCAGTAGAGTTCCCGTAAAGTGTTTTCCAAAATAAACTAGAATTGTAACTGCTTTATCAAATAAAACTGGACGGAACAAGTTCATCATACAATTTGAGCCAAATAAAAGTTACCCCCCCCCCCCACCCCCAATATTCCCTTTTCGAACAACATAACTTATTTAATAGCCGTCCTACAGTCCTCAGGAATTAACAGTATTTCCAGAACAAATATGACATAATTCTTGAAATTCTCACACACACAGCGGCAGGACAGTAGGGAAGCACTAAACGACCTGCATATATTGCATTTCAGAAAAATATAATCTGAAAGTATATCAAGCAAATGCATAAAGAAACTCGGCACAAATGCAAACAAGTCAAGTCTACAAGCAAATGCATAAAGAAACTCGGCACAAATGCAAACAAGTGAAGTCAACATATAGGTATCTAATTTGTATATGAGCAGCCACACTTTTGTTGTATATTTTTTGCTATGCATCTTCTTGATGCCATTTAATGAAATTATCTTACTTCATCAAAAAAAACATATAGGTATCTAATAAGCCTGAATGACTAGGTCTGAATATAAATTAAAACTGTAAATAACAAAAAATTAGCAGAATGCTCAAGGAACCAGGGGAACTGCAGAGACAGCATTGCCTGCCCTGTCAAATGCAGAATAATATTTTTTACGGTAAACAGCTAAATGCTGAATAATTAGAACATAATTTATTCCCAAATATGGGGAGTTAAATTAATATCACTCCTCAGAAATTATGAGTGCAAGAGCAGAGCAAAATTATTACCCCGTAGAAGGCATGATTCCCTTCATTAGAACTAGTTGATCGATAGTGGCTCATAAAATTGTCGGCACACACATACACGTCTTCCATGCTTGACCGAGATCCAATGTCCGCCCAAGCACCTGAGCGAAGTAACGGAATGTACTCTGTTGCATGATCACCTGTAGCTGCCCTTGGTTCAAGAGAAACATCTGATAACTTGGTTCTCACCTGGTAAATCTCCACTCAAAACTTCAATACACATCAAGAAGATACAAAATCACCATAGATCATACAAATGCTGAAAGTTCAGCCAGCAACTAATTCGAAGTAATATAAAAATAAAAAGTAACAGATCATAATGTCCAAACAAATTACAAATAGATCAGAAATAATAACATGATTAATAAAACAGACAAACAAAATATACTGATCCAATAGTTGATATATTAAATTTCTATTAATTCAGAAAACTAGCCTATTAAGATTTTTCATGTAGACCTAAGAATAAAATTCATATAAGAATTAATGAAAGTGGTATACTCTTCAAAGAGAATAACACTGAAGAAGCCAAAACCAGAAAACTACATCCTCCTAGTAGATGCTATTCAAATCAAAGAAGGATTAATATCATTCACTTCACTAAATCAGCAGAATGCTTCCAACCATGACGCCACAGCCATAAAAATTCCCAGAAAACATCACATTAAACAACTTTTTTTCTTTAGTTATATTGAAAACGTATGCATGTAAATTCCAAATCTCAACATATTACTTATGAAACCATAAAACAGGGTTGGAACACATCTCCCCAATAAGACAATCGAACTGTCAGATGACAAGAAGAGATAGTTGCAAAGAACACAGCAGCTTCTATTGCTTTAAAACACATAAAGATAACCTTTCTAACTTGGTCGCTATCTTAATTGGGCAGAGTCAGATTACCACGAAAATGTCCAATATTTGTAAATATAAGCAATCATATCATAATAATATATCCAATGAACAAAACAATAGAGAAGTACTTCTTTGGCTTTGTTTAATGCACTAAGCCAACTAACACAAATTATCTATTAAAACCACTCCAAAAGATGCATAAACTTTACTATAACAACAACAATAACAACTACAGCTCAATGCCAAACTAGTTCGGATCGGCTACATAAGCTCTATTCAAGGGCGGAGCTAAATAGGAGTAAGGGGATTCATTGAATCCCCTCCTTTGAAATACTAGAAAAAGTGAGTTTTCTTTGTTATATATAAACGGTTCAATCCCCCTGACTAAAAAAATCCAGTGTAGTGTCTGAGCGGGTTCAAAATTGCTTCAGGTCATAGATTCAAATCCTAGCGAAACATTGTTGTATTTTTTTGAAACCCCTAGTATAAATTCTCCCCTGGACCAAGGGCTCTATTCAGACCCAATTCATTCTAATACTAAAGAAATTAAGTTTTTCTAACACCGGATCTAAGGAAAGTGCACCGACACAACTAGGCCTTTATCCCAACTAGTAAAAGAGTAATACTTTGCAACTACAATAAATTAAAAAAAAAAAACTAAAAAAATCCAATAAATGCTAAGGCTAAAGTAGACAATTTACCAAAGAGGGGTGTCGAACAAGGGACCTCTTGGTGGCAGACGCCACTAAACGGTGCCCTCCTCCAGCAAGAGGATTCGGCGGCTTGCTATTACTGGAGCTCTCATTTTCTCTGCAATTATCAAACATCAATTTACTGTCTTCCATTTTGATTCTCAACCATAACTGTACGGAAATAAATCAATGTAGAAATTTGTTATAAAATTAGGGATCTGTGGTGCAATTTCGATGAATCTAGGGTTTTTATTTAAATTAAAGGGGTTTCTTTTAGGGTTTTAACGGGCGGGAAAAAGAGGAAATTGTAGGGTGTGCGAGGAAACAGAGAGATTTAGGGATGGATAGAATGCAATTGGTTTGGGATCTGTTTTAGGAGAAAAGATTGGGGATTTCTGAGGCGTTGTTTTTTAAGGTGGGGACCGAACTTAAGCAAGGCGGTGATTTGGTTGACTACTTGACAGGTAGAAAATATAACTACGTATGATACAAGTTACTCATACCTATGATAGTGTGAATTTTATTATTATTAATCATTTTAAAATAAATGAATATTTTTTAATTAATATAATTATGAATAATTATAAACCGTATATAATAGTAGAACTTAAGCTCAATACCTCTATATTGTCAATACACTAAAATTATACTTTTCATTCAAATCTATAATTGTCTTATAAACAATTAATATAGAAATTAAACTCAGCATAAATATTGTGGACTATATCTCTTTTTCGTCTCACAAAAATTATACTCTTTTACTTGTTAAAATTTATAAAATTTGAGAAAAGAATAAATATTTAAAATAGAAATATATATAAAACGACGTGACCTTTTGTTTTTACTTTACTTTTTCTCTATTTTTTTTTTTTTTTACAAATAAGACAAGACCTAACATCACGACTAGTTATCTTGTAGAAGAACTAATGGAGAGCAAACCATAAGAGTATGAAAAATTGAACATAGATTCAAATAAATGGGAGTCATAGCATTTGACGTTTAAACTTTAGGGGTCGTTTGGTAGGGTGCATAAGAATAATGCTGAATATGGTGTATTAGCAATGCTGGTATTAGTTATGCTTGCATTAGTTATGTTGACATATTTTTTATCCATTGTTTGGTTTGATGTATTAAAGCATTGCACAATTTCTAAAAGAATTGCTTGTTTACAAAAATGTCCTCGTAACCAGTCCATCACTCTAACTTTTTAAAAGAAACATATGTTGAAAAATATTTTTATATGAAAAAGTATAAAAAAATTATTTGATTTGTGTACTTATATTGTAATATAGAACTAAATATTTATTTATAAAAAAAATTATGTATGCTAAGTATTTATTTATTTACTAGAGATATAATTTTATTTCTCACTATTTGGATTATTTTAAACTTGCATTAATATAATAACTAGCATATTTTAATCAAGCATAATTTTTGAAGGACAATTTTATCTTTAACTAAGCTAATGCTGTTATATATCTGTATTGCTGAAAATAAATTAAATAATAATCTTTCTGAAAACAAAAACAGAAAGTTAATAGAAATTAAATTCCGAAAAACAGTAAACTTCTTCAAAATAAATTTTGAAAACGCTGTAGGAATAAATCGAGCCCACTGAATACACAGTGTGTCCTTAAGGAAATTATTCCCCTCAAGTACCCGAGGTTCTGGAATATATCCTCCCAGGATAGAACGATTTAACTCACCAGTATATCGGTACCTAAAACTCTGGTGATCGGCGAACCACTCGTTGGTCGTAAAACACACTGGAATATTTTGTGCAGAAGAAGAAGAAGATTCAGAAAATTTCGTAAGTAAATATTCTGGGATTTGAAGGTATATTTATAGCCAACTTGGTGTTGTTTCTGAAGAGGTTTGCAACCTTTCAGAACAGCCATAGCTGTTGGAACAGGTGTGACACTGTTCCAGAACAGCCATGGTTGTTCAAAATATTGTGGGAAATATAAAACGGATTTAAAATAATCCGGGAAAGAAAAACGGGCCGGACCGAACCGGGTCGCGGGTCATGGGTTATTTAGGATTGAATTTTTTTAATTAATTAATTAAATATTTGAAAAGAATTTTGTCCAAAAAGATTAATCAATCAATCTTTGACAAATCCAAATCCGAATCCGAATCCGAAGCCGAAGCCGAAGCCAAAGCCAAAGCCGAGCCGAGCGAGCGAGCGAGCGACGGCGACGGCGCGAGGCTTGCCTTCTTCTTAGCTCTTTAAGAGCTAAAAGATAAGCTTCTCTTTATATACACAAAGATTTTCTTTCCTTCTACCAATGAGGGACAAAGTGCATAAGTGAAATGAACTCATTTAAAATTTCACTTCCCTCCATTTCTTTTCCCACCATTTTTCATTCACACCTCTTTTGTTATTATTTATTAATAACAAACCCAACAATCCCCCACATGAATGGGGAATGGCTATAAACTCAAAGGAATGCACGGACGTGTGTGTGTTTTACAAGCAAGAATTGATTGCATCTGGATAAGTAGGTTTCCTTTTGAACTTTCCGTAGTGAACTTATATCGGATATACTCGGTCAATCGGTAGATTTGATATCTTTGAACCGTCGAGCTTTGTTGTATACCTAGACAACATAAGTCACACAATCAATCCTTAACCATCTATGGTTCTCACAGTTGTGTTCTTTTCAGCCATGAACACCGCCTGGTTTCATGAGTGCTTAGAGAATGGGACTTTACTTTCATTCTCCTTGAAGCGGCTTACACTTCACACTCACATAGGTGATTCCTAAACGTGTAATCCTAAAGACACACTATCTGGTCATATCCTGCCAGACTTAGCAAATCATTAAAAAGCTTTAAGCTTTATTGACTTATAAAAAAGCCTTAATGCTTTACCTCGTTTTTGAACATTGTCTTCATCACTAGAGTGGGTTGAGTTAGTTGACAATGTTGAACCGTCATTCATAACTTTGTTTGATCTCTTTGAACCTAGCTCTTGGGATCTCCAGTCTGCTAGGTAGAGTTACCGCCATGATGACTTGTCCTAGGCCTTTAACACCATTCCCTTTGATGATCTTTCAACCGCCTCTCTAGATAGGCCTTTTGTAAGTGGATCCGACACATTATCTCTTGACTTTATATAGTCAATTGTGATAACACCACTAGAGAGTAGTTGTCTAACAGTATTGTGTCTCCGTCGAATATGACGAGATTTCCCGTTATACATAACGCTCCCTGCCCTACCTATTGCCGCTTGACTATCACAATGTATACATATAGGTGCCAAAGATTTGGGCCAAAATGGAATATCTTCCAAGAAATTCCGGAGCCATTCAGCTTCTTCACCGGCCTTATCTAAAGATATGAATTCAGATTCCATTGTAGAACGGGCGATGCACGTTTGTTTGGATGATTTCCAAGACACTGCTCCACCCCCAATTGTGAAAACATATCCACTCGTGGATTTAACTTCAGATGATCCGGTGATCCAATTTGCATCACTATATCCCTCGATCACGGAAGGACATTTGTTATAATGCAAAGCATAATTTTTGGGTATGTTTCAGATACCCCAAAACGCGTTTCATTGCCATCCAATGTATTTGATTGGAATTACTTATAAACCGACTCAGTTTTCTAATAGCACATGCTATATCTGGTCGCGTACAATTCATGATATACATCAAACTTCCCAATACTCTTGCATAGTCCAGTTGTGAGTCACTTTCACCTTCATTCTTTTGAAGTGCATAACTCACGTCAATTGGAGTCTTGGCAATTTTGAAATCCAAATACTTGAACTTGTCAAGTACCTTTTCAATGTAGTGAGACTGTGATAATGCTAGACCTTGTGGAGTCTTTCGAATTCTGATTCCTAAGATCACATCAGCAACTCCTAAGTCTTTCACGTCGAATTTGCTAGCCAACATGCGCTTTGTAGCATTTATATCTGCCATACTTTTGCTTATTATCAACATGTCATCAACATATAAACAAACAATGACTTCATGACCTAGAGTATTTTTAATGTAAACAATTTGTCACACTCGTTGATTTTAAATCCATTTGCCAACATTGTTTGGTCAAATTTTACATGCCATTGTTTGGGTGCTTGTTTAAGTCCATAAAGCGACTTAACAAGTTTGCACACTTTCTTTTCTTTACCAGGAACCACAAAACCCTCAGGTTTACTGTGTTAAACCAACAATCAGGAAAAACTGTTAGAAAAATAAAAGAAACTGGAAAACAGAAGAGTTTAAGAAATATTCCGAGTCCACAATTTTCTTGTGTGTCCTTAAGGAATTTTAACCCCCTCACACGTTGCCAAGGTAATGGATTAAATCCTCCCAGGATAAAACGGAATAAACCTTCCTGCAACAGTGGAAATACAAACTGCAGGATACCAACGAACTCAAAGAACGGAGCAAAATCACACTTACGAATTTGAGAGAGAGAGACTGCGAATTAGGATGCAGTATATTCAGAAAGAAAGAAGTTCTGGAGTGTTTTTCGTGTGTAGAAAATGGAGCCTTGCCTCGGAATTTATAGGCAATTATCAGAAGAAGTGTCTGGAAAAGGTGCCTTTTCAGAAGAATACGCTGCCTGCCGCAGTCGCGGCAGAACCGCGGTCAGAGAGGCTCTCTGAATCAGCCTGCCGCGGTTCTACCGCGGTCGCGGCAGAACCGCTTTCAGAGAGGCCCTCTGAACCTTCAGCAGGGTTCTGGCATATTTTCAGCAGTGATTTGGCATTTAATTAATTATTAAATAATTAAATAAATTTTGTCCAAAAATAATCTTATCGATCGATCATTTGACAAATCCAAATCCAAAGCCGAAGCCGAAGCCGAAGCCGAGCCGAGCGAGCGACGACGACGGTGCGAGGGTTCATTCTCTTCAACTCCTTTTAAGAGATTTAAGAAGTGATTCTATATATAAGCACACAAATGTGGTTGTCCCTCACCAATGAGGGACAAAGTGCAAGACAAAAGTTCACTTCTTCAAATTTTCAATTTCCCTCCATTTCCAATTCACACTTCTTCTACTTTAAAGCCCAATGGCTTAAAGTCCAACAATCCCCCATATGAATGGGAATGGCTGTATCAAGAAAGATCATAGATGAAAGCTATGTGATTTTGCAAGTAAGGATTAATTGCATCTGGATAAGTAGGTTTCCCTTTGAACTTTCCGTAGTGAACATATGTCGGATATACTCGGTCAATCGGTAGATTTGATATATTTGAACCGTCGAACTTTAGTGCATACCTAGACAACCATATGTCACACAACCAACCCTTAACCGTCTTTTGGTTCTCATTGTTGTGTTCGTTTTAGCCATGAACACCGCCCGGTTTCATAAGTGCGTAGAGAATTGGCCTTACAAAATTCTCATTGAAGCGGCTTCCACTTCACACTTACATAGGTGATTCCTAAACGTGTAATCCTTTAGATTGACACTATTTGAT